CAGGGTTGTAAACGGTAAGTTACCATCGGTAAATTACAAGTAAATTACCAGGTAAGTTACTATAACCTCGAGTAAGTTACCGAATTACTGCGGAGTTAAGAAAATTTTGGGCGGCTTTTAAGATATAGTTTGGCTGGCATTAATACTAAGAGGTAGACTATGAATGAATATATCATATATAAAACGAGAGTAAACCACTGGTTTAGCCAATTAAAATTTTTTATTCTTTACAGTAGCTTACCTGGTAATTTATCATAATTTACCAAGAAATTTATAAATTACGGTAATTTTACAACCTTGCTCACGGGCCGGGTTTTTTTAAAGAACCCGCCCCGGGACCGATTACAATGCATCCGGTCAAACTAGAGACCCGAAGCCGGTCTTGTCCAAAAAACCATGGACCCGAACCGATCAGTTTGCGGTTCGGGTAGGTCCGGGTCTGCGTAACACTAGTTACACCCAGTGTTTAAGTGAGCTAAATTTAGAGTATTAATGTTAAAAATTTTTTAATATTCTCATTATATAAATATTATTTTTTAAAAAAACTTATATTTTTATCAAGTAAACCTATCTTGAGCTCTTATGTGTATAGAAACTTTCTAATTCTAATAGTTTAAAATAGGTCTAGTAGATCATGAGTTATACCTATTTTGCAAAGAGAAAACTTATAGTCACAAAAATTAAAATAGGTATAACTCATGATTTACTGAACCAATCTTAACATTTCAAGTACTATTAGAATCAGAAAGTTCCTGCGAACAACTTTACTTAAGAGCCTAAGATTAATATAGTGGTAAAAAAAAGTTATAATTGAATAATAATATTTTGAGAACATTCTATCTATACAAAATGTTTTCAAATAAGTGAACATTAATTTAAATATTGATGTTCTGAGAATATTGAATTTTAAACACTGGTTACACCACAGGAAAATTTGATTTTGCCTACGTACAATTTTACTTAACGTTAATGATCGATATTTTTCCGTGTCCCTGGTGTCACTCAGTGAAACTACAAAGATCACGTGAATTAAAATCAGATAATTGATACGTGACACAAATATAGCATATTTTCAGCACTTTAATGTTCTCTAGGAGAAGAACAAATTGGTTTTCTCTTAAATCACCCTGTAATTATTTCCATACCTCAGTATTTGTAAAAATTATAGAAATAGAATGGAGACAACAGTAACTTCTTCCGAATTCTTGACAACACTTTCAAATGATCTATCCTGGCTACTTGAAAATACTGAAAATTGTGATGTTGTATTATATGTTGGTCAAGAGCAGAATGTTCGAAAATTTCATGCACATATTGCTATCTTGAGGGCAAGATCAAATTATTTTAAAAGAGCTTTGGCAAAACAATGGGCAAAGCGTGAGGAAGACGGTTTAACTAAATTCCAAAAACCAAATATTTACCCTGAAGTATTTGAAGAGATATTAAAGTAAGTTTAGTACGGAAAAAAATAATAATATAATTATGTGAATAAAATTTTTTTTTTTAGTAATCATATTACTTTTTAAAAAAGATATATGTATAAAGGTAAAATTGAACTTGGAGGACAAGATGGTCAGAACCTTCTTAATCTTTTAACGGCCGGAGATGAACTAATGCTGGATGAATTTTGTAATTATATTCAGAATTTTTTAATTCAGCAAAAATTCGAATGGCTTGAAGAAAATCTTGTCGAAGTATTACGTATTACAGGACATTGTAGTAGTTGTACAGCACTTAGAGAATATTGTTTAGAATTGATTGCCGAAAAACCTGCTTCAATCTTTAGATCTGAGGGATTTCCATCTTCTGATAAAGAGTTATTACTATCTCTTTTAAAACGCGATGATTTGGAGATGAATGAAGTGGAGATTTGGAATTATGTGGTTAAATGGGGAATTGCCAATACACCAAACCTTTTTGAAACTGACATTTTACGTTGGACACACGAAGATTTTAAAGCCTTAAGTGATACATTACATCAATGTATTCCTTTAATTAGATTTTTTGACATCTCATCATCAGATTATTATGATTATGTTAGACCATACGATAAGATTCTTCCTGTAGATTTAAATGAAGATATTGTTAAATATCATTTTAAACCTGGTAGCATTCCTCGATCAATAGTGCTTCCACCAAGAGATCAAGGAATGAATTTAGATTCATTTATTATAAAACCTATTCACGCAAGGCTTATTTGTGGATGGATAGATGGAAAAAATATACTTGGTCCTACATATGTGAAAGCTGCATATGATTTCAAATTACTTGTTCGTGGGACTCATGACGGGTTTGATGCAACAACATTTCATTCTAGATGTGATCGTAAAGGACCAACAGTTGTTGTAATGAAATTGGAGGGCGTAGATGAAATACTTGGAGGATACAATGCTGCTTATTGGAGAACGGGTGCTGTTTACATTCAATCTGATAAGAGTTTTATATTTTCACTTGGAGATGGAAAGAATTTACAAGAGGTTAAGTTGAGTAGGGTTCGAGATTCAGCGACATCGATGTATGGGCATACATCTTATGGACCACATTTCGGAACCGCAGATTTGAGGATGTACTCACCTTTTAATAATAAGGAAAATTGTAGTTGTCAACAGGCGAGTTATTATAGAAGTGTTACAGAACATGTTAGGTTTGCAGCTGAAGAATATGAAGTTTTTCAAGTTGTTCAGAAACAATAACTGTCGTTATAATAGTGCATTGTCATAGATAGACGTTTATGATTTTGTTATATGTATTCATCAAGTGCAAATGGCACAGAATGGTTTATCTTTGTAACCGTCATTTTAAACGAACAATTCTAATGTCTTTTGAAAAAAAATTATCCGTATCTGGTATACATTATAAATCCTAATTGACTTGAAACTAATTCCTGACCAATTTATATATATTTGAGATGGGTCATAGTCCAGCAAAAACCCTGGATGATTCGGACCAAAATATCTACACTTATTAATTATGCAATTAACCTTTTCGTCATTTATGAACTATTGAATTGCTGTGCGTCAAATTAATACCCGCATCAGATTAAAATAGACTCCCGCCCTAACCATAATGAAACTCTGTATTTCTGACGCACGACATTGATAAGCGTGGATATTTTGTCCGAATAAAATCGGGTCAATATTAGCAAGATCTATTCCGCGCAACGTTTATTTTTGAACATTATTACCAGTATGTAAATTTCGAATTGGCCAATAATAAGTGACTTGTGACGTATTAGACGTATTAGTAGAGATGATTTTCTGAGTTGCACGCACGGAATGCCGCAGAAATCACTGATACAGTAGATAGTCGCGCAACCAAAAATAAACCGGACCAAACAAATTACAAGATCAATTTCACTCAAAAATTTGGTCTATAGAATTTTCCTTGTAAAATTTTGGCATAACGATAAGGACTTCTTTTAAACCCAACCTAACAAGGTCTGAGAAATTATTCAAATTCATCGACAGTGGGATTTGAATCTCAGACCTATTGCATGGCAGTTCAACAACCTAATCACTATACTAGGTCACTGGACCTTCTGAATAATTTTATTAAAAAGTAAAAATAAGTTAATTTAATAAAAAAAACAAATAATGAATCTGATAATCTTAATATAGTAGTTAGGTTATTAGATTATTATATAATAGATCTAAAGTTCAAACTTTATTATTAATAAATTTGAAGACTTTATGATATATTACAATAAATTTTGTTTATTTTTGAAAATATATTTTTATAAATTTAGTTTACTAAATTGATTTAAACTTAAAAATATAATATAATATTTTTTTTTTTAGCAGTTATATCATAATTTTATTTAGATTTGTTTTTTATTTAAAAACAATATTATTTAGTTATATACTATCTAATAACTAATTTTTTAAGTTATAACTCACTCAGTTATCTTATAGATACCTATGTATGATCAAAAATATAATATAATATTATATAAATAAATCTTAATAGAATATATAAACATTTAAATAAACAAAAACTTTTTCTGATGATTACTCATACCAAAATTTTCTAACTTATTTTTTTAAAAATAAATAATAAACTTCATAAAAACACAAAAGTGACAAAGCAGGGAAATATAAGACAGTAACTATTATTTAGAGATAGTTCTTATACACTATCTGCTAACAGATTCAGAGTTTATTACTTACTGCAATATCAAAGTAGTACTTGTTATTTAAAAATAGTTCTTATATATTACTTGCTAATAAGCTCAGAGTTTATCACTTATCTACTAAGGATAAGTATTAGCTATATACTAGATGAATACAAGTAGATAGTAGATTTTGAAAAATATATACTCTCTTTAAAAAATTTTAGCATTACTATCATTCTTCTTATGGGTTTTTTAGATTTTTTTTTACTGAAAATTAAAAAAATAAAGAATTTGATAAACTTCTAACAAAAGATCTACAAGTTTTACTACTTTCTAATTTAACAAATCATCTATTAATATACAACTTAGACAAGACAACAAACATATATATTACTATCATGTAAATAATTCAATTAGAATTTAACTTCTAAACAAGTCTAATATTAGAGATATACATTCTTGTTTTTGCATAGTATAATATTTTTATATTTTGTTATACTCTTTTTTTCTTTATATTAAAAAGAGTATTTGTTTTCTTTTTCTTTTTCTTTACTTTTTTACTTATAAGAGTTTTTTAATCTAGTAGCAGATTTTTCTTTTATAAGCTTAGTTCATAAAATTAGCTATATTTTATTATATGTAATAATTTTTATTTTTAACTTAAACTAGATATTAATAGTTTATAATTTAGTTTCAATTAGATTAGAAGCAACTTAGGATCTTGATAAGGTGTAAAAAAACTTATTATTGATCTGAAAAAACTACTCTACTTAGATAGGATATCTTTTAAGAAGATAAATACCTTTTGTAATAGATTATATCTAAATAGCATAAGATAAGCTAAGTGAATTCAAGGTTACAAGAATGAAATTTATAGTAGTTTAGAGCATTAGCTTTTTTTTTTATTTTTGTATTATGATTTTATTTATAAAATCTTCTACTAATAAACTAAGTGTAAGGTTATCTAAGTTAAAAAAAGAATAGAATATATAAGCAGAAGACTAGTATGATAGAAATTCTAAGTTAATGATATAATATAGTTTTTTTGTTAATCATATTAGTTAAAGTTTAATTTGAGAAATCTAGTAATCTTAGTGTAGTAGTTAGATTGTCAGACTACTATGTAAGAGGTCTAGGGTTCAAATTCTACTGTTAATAAATTTGAATAATTACTCTAATCTTTGTATCTAACTTATAGTAAACTCTGTTTATTTCTGAGAGTTGTAACCCTATAAATTATATTACACTAATATTAATCAGATATTGAAAATATGATGCAATGTTCAAGTTATGTTGTATGAATAAATCTTGATAAGATCTACAGGCAGAAGATCTGCATAGTAAAAATTTTGAATTAGATAAAGTAGTATAGATTTTGATAATCATACTAGTTAATACTAGATTTAAAAAAGAAGCCTATATATGAAGATTGCAGATTAAGCAGGTATGAGTAAGTCTGCTATATAATACAGCTTAGTACCTTATATTAGTAATAACACCAACTTGGCTTGGTAGCTAATTAGATTTAGAAGGATTTAATTTATAAAACTTCAAATAAATAGAGAACTAATCTGGTGGAATCTAATTTATAAAACTTCAAATAAATAGAGAACTAATCTGGTGGAGAGCTATGATAGAACTAGATTTATATAAACATCTATAAAAGTATATACTAGCTAAAAATAAGATATAGCATAGCATAATTAGAGTATTCTGCAGACCTCTCTTAAAGAGAATTAATAGGATACCTTGAGATAGAGTTCTTCCTAATAGGAAAATCTAAAATACAAGTTAGTCTGAGTAGTCCTCAATAAGATAATATAAGATTGTGTAAGTTTAAGAATAAAATTAGGTTAACATTAGAGATAACAGTATACTAAAAAGTTTAAATAGAGTAGTCACAAACAGGTACTAGGTATAGCAATTAGTAGATAACCTTTAGACAGAACTTTTAAATATACATATAACTAATTATACTCTTACTAACTAATATAAATCTACAAATAATCTAATAAAAATTAACTGACATCAAGACCTTGTTGTAACAATAAAAAAAAAAAAAAAAAAGTTTAATTTGAAAAAAAAAATTCTATCTAATAAATATAAAATTACTAGACAAAGAATAACTAGTAGCTAATATAATAAAATTCACAGTACTTTTTTTATTAATTATTTTGACTATTTTTAAAGCAGAAGGAAAAAATAGAAAAACTTCAAATTTTTACTAAAAAACAGTAACTAATTTATTAACAAAAAAGAAAAATACTTAAGAAATATATATAGTAGAGTTAAAGAATAAGAAATAAAAAGAAAAACAAGAGTTTAAGAAGAAAATTCATCTCAAAAACTGCTATGAAAAAAATTTTTTTTAAAAAAAAGTAAAGATTATATATATTTTGTAACATAGATCACTTCATATAATACAAATATATAAAAATGATAAACAAATAAATATAATATAGATAGATTGTATATATCATATATTAAGCAATAGATATAAAATATACATAACTAGAACTAGATATTTTACTAGAAAAAAAGAAAAATCTTAGAGAATTTCAAAAAAAAGGTAAAGTTATTTTAAGATTGAGTTGCTAAGTAGATTAGATAAGAAGAGAATATAACAGATATATAGAATAGAGCTAAAGTAACAAGACTAGTTAGAATAGTAACCAAGAAATATAGTAAAGAGATAATAACAGAAGATAACAAGTTAGTAATGAGTTTGGAAGACTATATAAATAAAATGATAGCAGAGATATTAGAGATAAAAAGTGATATAGTAACAGTAGCTAGAGAGTAGAAAAAAGTAAAAGAGAGAACAATAATAATAGAAAGAATTAATAGAGTTAAAACTATATTAGATCAAGAATATAAAGATACAACAGTGATTCAGAGGTCTATAGTATATTAGTTGTACTCCCAGGTCACCAATCGCAAGGTTGTCAGTTTAAGTCATACTAGAAACAAAGACTGCATTAGAATCACAATTAAAAAGTTAGCTACAAACCTGAGGTACTAAGTCAGAAAATAAAAAATACCTCTAGTGAAATTCTAGTTGAAAACAGAATTTCTAGAAAAGATACTTCCAATGAAATTCTAGATGATTTAAGATACTTCTGATGAGATTCCAGTTGATCAAAATTAATTAGAACAATATAATAGGCTATTGTAACTTAAGATAGTAATTAATAAATTAACTCATATAATTCTTAAATATAGAGGATCTTACAAAAGTTAGAAGGCCTCATTAATTAGTAAATTAATAATAAATATATGTCACTGATGTCTTATAGTGATTATGTTATAGATTAAAACAAAAAAAAAAAGATACAACAACAAAGAAAGATAAAATAATAATACAAAAAAACAAAACAAATATAGAAATAGTAGACCAAATAGATACAACTAAATTAAAAAATAATTTAGAAGTACAAATACTAATAGAAGAAAAACAACTAATAGTAATTTAAAAAAATATAATAAAATATAACTAGATCTAGTGATCTTAGTGTAGTGGTTAAGTTGTCAAACTACTATGCAAGAGGTCTAGAATTCAAATTCTATTATCGATGAATTTGA